ATATTCTATAAACAAGAATATATAGATTTTTTCCCACAATTAACCCGTTGGTCTGTATTTTAACAATTTTAAATTTATCTAGCAGCTGGTTCTATGACTAAACAAATAAATAATATTTCACAATAATTGAACATGTCTAAAACAATGAAACATATACAAAATCAAGCTGTAGTAATTATAAAAGAAAGGCAGAAAAGAACAAAAGGAAACAAAACAAACCCAAAAAAGTCAGGACAGGAAAACAGAACATATATTCACTTAAGATTTATTTCAATTATTATCAAGCCCCAATTTCCCATGATCCAAAAACATTTATCATTTAATTTTTAAAAATAACCTATTTTTCCAAGTGAATAAATAGTACATGTATCTAAATATAAAGAGAGCTATAAAATATATTTTATTATTTTAGGGAAAAAGTATAAACCCATTGAAGAAAATTTAGAATATACAGAAAAGTAATTCTATCACCCAGAAGAAATTACAGCTTAAAAGTATTTAAGAACCTGGCTCTCAGAAAGGACTTCCACCAAATGCTAAAAGCAGTGGGGGAAAAAAACCAAAACTTGCCAACATAACTAAATTAATATCAAGCCTTAGAGTTTTGCCTTTATATTTAGATTAAGGACGTTAACATTTCACTCAGAAATGAGTATATTTGGTTTATTACACATGGAGCTGGTTCACAGGTCACAAATAACCACACATGTAATAAACACTTGTTTTCCCATACAGAGTTCAATAAGATTATTTTCCAACTAGGAGAGTAGGTTTTTTTTTTTTTTTAATTGTACACTAGGGGTAAGTTTACAGAGCAAATTAGTTTCTCATTCAATAGTTTATACAAAAAGTATTTCATGACCGTGGTTTCATTCTCCACAAAGTGTCAGCACTCTCTCTATTTTCTGCCCAGGGTTCCCCATTTTCTTTCTTGTTGTCAGGTGCTGTCAAGTCGGTTCCGACTCACAGCGACCCCATGCACAAGAGAACAAAACAATGCCCTGTCCTGTGCCATCCTCACAATCGTTGCTATGTTTGAGCCCACTGTTGCAGCCACTGTGTCAATCTACCTTCTTGAGTGTCTTTCTCTTTTTTGCTGACCCTCTACCTTACCAAGCATGATGTCCTTCTTCAGGGACTGCTCCCCTCCTGATAACACGTCCAAAGTACATGAGATAAAGTCTCACCATCCTTGTTTTCAAGAAGCACTCTGTACTTCTTCCAAGACAGATTTGTTTGTTCTTCTGGCCAAAAAACCCACTGCTGTTGCGCTGATTCTAACTCATAGCGACCCCATAGGGTCTCCAAGGCTGTAAATCTCTATGGAAGCAGGCTGCTTCCATTGTCCGCTTCCGTATCTTTCTCCTGAGGAGCCGCTGGTGGTTTCAAACTGCAGACCTTTCAGTTAGCAGTTGGTCACTTTAACCACTGCACCATTAATAAGTGCAATCTGGCAATATGTCAAAAGCCTTAAAATGTGCACACAAAGGATGTTTGTTCAAGCATTGTTTGCCCGTTGCCATCGAGTCGATTCCAACTCTTAGCAACCCCATAGGACAGAGCAGAACTGCCCCATAGGGTTTCCAAGAAGCAGCTAGTGGATTCGAGCAGCAGACCGTTTGGTTAGCTGCCTAACACTTAACTACTGAGCCACCTGGGTCCCAAGTTTATAACAGTAAAAATAAATTAGCAACCTGAGATTCCAGCAAAGGGGAACTATCTAAATGTTGTTGCATCCTCAAATGAAATATTATTCAGTCACTGAATATTTTTAACATAAAGATACACTGAAACAAGAATTATCTATATCAGATCAAACTGACAACAGTAAGTTTGAAGCATAGATGAGTAGTTTATAGGGCAATGAGTCTAAGTCAAAGGTGGCGAAACAATACGGGGCGAGATAGGTGACTGCGACTGAGACATCGGATTTGCAAGCATGATTTGATCAGCCCGTGAAAGGGCTTCTCACGGAGAAGGTGAACACCTGTGGTACTGATGCGACCGCATTCACCAAGCAGGTGCTGAAGGACTCATGGAGCTCCGAGTTGCTAGCTCAGGCAGCTCAAAACAGAAAGATGCCACCTTGCACTCAGAAGATAGTTTAAGAGATATGGCAATAATAACAACACATCTTCAATATCAGCAAGAAGCTATTCAGAACAATGCTGAGCAGTCATCAGATCTACAGGACCAGGGGAATCACCTGTTGAAACAGCACAGCATATAACAGTGCAAAAGCATTTCTTTGCCTGATGCCGAGGAGGAAATAACTTACTACAAGCATCATGCCATGGGTTGATTTTTCACTTTCTCTGCCAAAAGTTAGAAAAGATGTGCAATGATGTACAGTTTATCCTGAACAGAAGCTAGGTGGCTCAATTTTGAAAGCATTTCTTAAACTGGACCAACTCGTGTTCTAGTGAAATTTTAAGTTGCTCTGTTGAGTTTGAAATTAAAGTAGAATTAAAAGATGTTTTATGTTCTGCATCCCACTTTGGTGAGTGGCGTCTGAGGTCTTAAAAGCTAGCAAGTGGCCTTCTAAGATGCATCAATTAGTCCCAACCCACCTGGAGCAAAGGAGAATGAAGAACACCAAAGACACAAGGAAAATATTAGCCCAGGAGACAGAAAGGGCCGTATAAACCAGAGACTTCATCAGCCGGAGACTAGAAGAACTAGATGGTACCCAGCTACCACCAATGACTGCCCTGACAGGGAACACAACAGAGAGTCCCTGACGGAGCAGGAGAAAAGTGGGGTGCAGAACTCAAATTCTAGCAAGAAGACCAGACTTAATGGTTTGATTGAGACCGGAGTGACCCCAGAAGACATGGCCCCCAGACTGTTAGCCCAAAATTAAAACCATTCCCGAGGCCAACTCTTCAGACAGAGATTAGACTAGACTATGGGACATAAAATGATACTTATGGTGCTTCTTAGCTCAAGTAGATACATGAGACTAAATGGGCAGCTCCTGGCTGGAGGTGAGATGAGACGGCAGAGAGGGTCACGAGCTGGTTGAATGGACACGGGAAATCTGGGGTGGAAAGGAGGAGTGCGCTGTCACAGTATAGGGATAGCAGCTAGGGTCACATAACAGTGTGCGCATAAATTTTTGTATGAGAAACTAACTTGAATTGTAAACTTTCACTTAAAGCACAATTTTAAAAAAAAAACAGAGAAAGCAAATGAAAGTCCAATTTAATTCATATGGTGCATCATCAAGTCAACTAAGCAAATAAGATTACATTTACCTCTCATTATACATGTGTACATTTACTTAAGGTTAAAAAAATAAGGTGTGAAGAATCTGAAAATTCATTTATGCATTCATTCCACAAACATCTACTATAATTACTAAATGTAAATGGGCTCAATTTATCTTTAAAAAGAAGGGTTACTAGTTTAGAAAATAAAACAAGATGTAGTTACCCAAGTATATAAGAAGCAAATACTTTATTTTTATTTTTTTTATTGTACTTCAGGTGAAGGCTTACAGAACAAATAGTTTCTCATGAAACAGAAGTACACGTTATTTTATGACACTGGTTAACAACCCCACAACATATCAGCCCTCTAACTTCTCAACCTCTTTTTTTGGTGAAAATACACATAGCCAAAGATACACCATTTCAAAAATTTC